AAACACTGGAAATATTAGGTAGTCCAATAGACAGAGATTAACAACAACTATTAATGCAAGCGCCCATGTAGCTGTTTCAAATGTTGTAACACTACCAACTAAGATCTACTCAATGAAATATATTTTAATACTCAGCAGTCTATTTCAAAATGAAAAAAAAAGCAAGTACAGCAGAAATGTTAATATGATGAGGCTTGTGTGCGTTATGAGTGTCGGCTATAACTACAACAACCCTGGGAAGACGTCATGTTAAATTTGTCCACCCGCTGGGACCATCGATGGTGCATCATGAAATGTGCCGTCCTGTGGTAATGCCAAGAACTTGCTTAGGTCATGATCAGAGGATGTAATCTGACCAGAATAGAGACAGGGATCATGGATCTATTTGTGGTTGATAGGTAACCTTACCTGAGGTAGCGGTGATCTTACTTGTAAACAGAACCGTGCCGTGCAGTCCACCCCCTCCAGGTATACTAGCAGCTAATTACAACATGGTATGGGGTTGCTACGTTAAACAAATTACAACAGGTTGATGTTTTTTTAGGTTTCTTTTACTTCTTTTTGATCATCAAAAAGCAATTAACTTCTTTAGAAATTCTTGTGTTTTCATTACTCATTAAAGACATAGGAAGCACACAGCTGGACATTTCTCTTTTTAGTGAACATGACATAAAAATAAAATAACTTTCACTTCATTTAAAAAAAAAAAAACTTACGTGAACATTACAAACTACAAAATTCTGAACAGGTGTATAAATTGAGGAAGGACAGATAGTACACATGAAAGACCAGGGTTGGAAATCTAGGTGAGGTTAAACATCAGTGCAGGATAAGATTTACCGAAGAGATAGCATATTATTTACATGTATCATATTTGATGAAATAAAAAAAATAATCCAGAAAACATGTAGGCCTAAATTATATAAATTCTTCCTAAAAATAACAGTTTAAAGAATTATATATAAAGAATAAAAGGTAATATATTTACTCAGACTTCTCTCAATTAAAGCTACTCAAATCCATATGGATTAAGGTATTTTATTATGTTTTGCCATCTTCTATCTTTTATTCTATAAAATGACTCACATTTATTTGAAAATTCTATAATTCTCCACTCCTCTCTCAAAATCAAATGACCCAAATTTTGAAGTACCAACATTTATTGTAAAAAACTCAAGATTACTAGTTCAAAAAAGGTCGCATGTTTGTTAGATGCAATAATTGTGCAAATGAAATTGATACCTCTCATAATTTCACACATCTTATGTTGATAATGAATGACTACAAGTTGAGGCACGTTTTAAAATGATGACTAGAAACCGCTGAAAAAGATCGCTCCAGAACTAGGCTACAAGCATGGCATCCTCTACTTCAAATATCTGCAGCATTTTCCCAGGAATCTTGAATTGTATGCAGATTTAAGTATACAATCGTAAAATTGACAAGAACTTTACATAATTTATTTTGCTATTAACTAGCAATTGGCTGGATACATGGAGCATATAAAATGCTGTGTGAATAATCATCCTCCTTAGGAATCAAATCAAGCAAATGCAACATCTTTCTGAACATTTCAGTACTAGCACAAAAATTACACACACGCCTATGCCTTGTTTCGTGAACTTAATTTTTTAAAGATTCGTAAGAGGAGCGCGGAAAAGAAGTAAAAAAAAAATTTTGTTTCTATTTAACAAAAAGCTTTGAAAGAAACATCCAGGGAGAGAAGAAAATAAAAATAACATTTTATTGGTGAATGTAAACACTGTAGTAATGGTGTTGAAATTTATATAATTAGGAATAAAAACAGGCAATTCTTATTTTTGGAGATTTCAAGGCAGCGGCAGGCATAATAACAATAAAGGCAAACTTTTATTTTTTTCTAAAATTATCCTTTTTTTTTTTTTGGTGGCGTGTGCGCTAATTAGCCAAAAATATAATTCTATTTTTATTTGAAATCATTGTTATTGACAGGCGGTGGGTTTGCTAAACAAGGAATAAACATATATATATACATATATATACATATATATATATACATATATATACATATATATATATATAATATACATATATATATATATATACATATATATATAATATACATATATATATAACACATATATAATACACATTATATGTATAATATACATATAAATTTATATAATACATATATCAAATAAAATGTATTAAAAGGAAAATAATAAAGCATTAAATACTAGATAAGAATTATCATACTATTGAAGACCTAAGTTGCCAGTGATGATTTTGAATGAATACAAAACTGCACAGAGGAACATATCTTACCTGACATTATAAATATAACATGAACCTTGAATATCCGAGGCCTGTATGCAAACAGATATACTGAGACATTCTAAAACCACTACAGTATATTTCAACAGTCTTTAGCATCTGCTTACTTGATGAATGGCATAGTTTCTGAGTCAATACTAGTGACATCACAAAAGCAGACAACTCATCTTTCCAGCACTTGCCATCTCTTGGCATTTCGCCAAGAGAATATATTAACAGGTGCAAATACAACATATTAATTATAACATGTGAAAAATTATCATTTCATCATAATTAATATGTTTTTCTCATAAATTAATCAGGTTTTTGTAGATTTTAATATGCATAGATTACTTATTTAGATAGATTAGATATTTAATTAATATGCATGGCATATTATTTGTTAAGAGAGGTAAAATTTTCAATATTCTGAAAGTTTTTCATAACCAAACTAGATTTGCTTTCTTAAAGTAGAATGTGATTAGCCTATTAAATCATACTGTATAATTAATATTCTTATTGTGTATAGTAATCATTTTGACAACATAATAAAAATCAGAAACCTTTGTCACAATATGCCAAATAATTATTGAAATAAACTATAATTAATTTTTGGCACAAAGAGTCTTTAAATTTTATAACACCATAGGCATCAATGATTACTTCAAATTAAAATGGCTGTGTTTCCACAGTACTTATAATTTCTCCAATAATTTGTCAGATAAATCTATCATAAAATTCCCACCAAATATTTTATCCCATCATGCAACATTTATGGACAACAATGCAATGTGTTTAACATCAAAACATCTGCTTTGTTGCCTAGCAGGTGACAATATTTTTTTGCACAAGAACGAAATGGTTCAGTACTATTTAACTGTGCATAATGATGTACTGTGCATAATGATGTTTCATTGTACTTCTGCATAGGGATTGAGAAGAAGACGAAAAAGAATGCTAGCTTTGTTTTGTTTGCTTTACGGTACAATAAATCATAGGTAGGGATACACCTAGATGCAACCAGGCACTGTCAATGTCGAGCGCAGCTTTTTTCGGGCTTTTTAAAAATATTTAATAAGCACAAAAAATTTACTAATTTTTCATTATGAAATGTTTGATACTGGCCTAGGCCTCTAGGCTTACAAACTGCTAATTGCCTTAGAAACTAACTACCCTGATTCTAATTTGGGTCCTGTTTCTGCAGCGAAAAGCAACAAAATTGCTGATTTCAGATAATTTATCGTGTAATAAGTGCTATGGAAACACCAAATGTGATGATCACAATTGTGAACAATATCTATGCATATCGATCACTATGGCCATCAGAGGTGGCGACAGAAATCTGCCCACAAAGGGTCAGACTAGAGCCTTGGTCAACAGCTTGCAATAAAAGAATCCCTATAGGGTTCACAGGGAGAGTTTTTATGGCTTAGCAATGGTCCAAATGTGCTTTAAGACCCCAATATTAGTGATTGGCAATCAAAAGAATGTTATTGGATTTATTATTTTTTAATTTTTGATCCAACAACCTAGTCATGTGCCTGAATTATAGTGTAATTGTTTAAATCATATTCATTTAGTTGAGATTGCCTCCAGAGGGCAGTGAAACCAACATGTAATCATTTGACATCAACATAATTGTACTATTCATCTAACTCAACTGTTCTCTAGAGGGCAGTATACATTTTGCTTCCACAACCACAAAGTACAATAACAAATAAAAAGAAAACAAAATGAATGTTAGTTTACTCCATGGTTACATATTTTATGATGTGTATGTCTTCTCATCTCTCCAATCAAACCAATGTTCTTGTTCTTGTTCTTGTTACCAGAACTTTAAAAGGTCCAGCATTGCCAGAAATGAACGGACATGCAGGACATTTTGTACACATAAACTATATGTGATTTGCCCAACAAATGTTCATGGCCCTTTTTTTAAGTTGGACCCCAAGGTGCCCAATACACCTACAAAAAAAACACAGGGGTTTCATCAAGGACTTACTATTATTACCACACAGGACAAGTCGCATGGATGGCGCGGTCGGTTAACAATGTGTTCTAAGGAGCCAAAGGTCGTGAGTTCGAATCTCATCTTGGTATTCAATTTTTTTTTTTTCCCCAATTTTAAGACATTTCATTTTTCTGTCATTTTAAGACATTTTAATTTGTACAATTGAACATTCTAAATATCTAAAAATCTTATTAGCTCTTCCAAATTTTGACAAATGACAATAACTCAAAAAGTTCATAACTAAACCTGTTTTATACAACCATGGATTTTACCCTGGGACCTACTGATTTCCTGGGGGGGTTGACAAGTACCTTCAGGGGGTAAGTAAATGGTCAAGGGGTCAGGAAGGGTTGTCGACAATTACCCATGCTCTGTCAAATTTTAATTGAATGACAGAAAGACCGTTACAAAAAAAACATGTTTTAAAATACTGTATAAGACTGCCAATTGTCATTCATACTGACTATATGTCAGTATGAATGACCATTCATACTGACTATATTTGTCAGTTTGAATGACCATTCATACTGACTATATATGTCAGTGGACCATAAAAGATAAAAGAACCTAGGCTACAGTATTCAAGACTCATAATATTATTTTAAAATGATAATATCATCGTTAACAACCATTTGTGCTAAATGAAAATTTATGAAATTAATGATTTCCTATGAATAAACAACATTTTCCAACTTACCATTTGCGATGCAGTCTTAGGATAGGAATTCACAGTAAGTTTCTCACCAACTACAAATAAAAATGATCAAAGATTAATCCAAAAAATAAAAAATAAATTGTTTCTCTATGATCAGGAAAGAAAATGCAGGATTGTGTCTGGTATTTTGTCAGCAATTCCTACAAGCCCTTTGTCCAGCTGGTTGGCAAGATCATAAACCATTTGTACTGCCTACTGGTTTACACTTGGGCATAGTTTATACCCACAACCTATAATACACTCTTGACAAACATGGAAGAGGAAATAATATTAAATAGTTTCTTAATGAAATCAACAGCAAATAGACATTACATTCTTGTGGTTTTATCCTTTTTAGGTAAACTTGATTTTACTTGCTTTCAGAGAGAATTTTCCTGTTTATTCCTTACATTTCAATTAGTCTCAGAAACATCAAAATTTATAAGAACAGAAACAGCGAGGAACAAGCTCTACACGAGACAGGAACATCCCGAAATTTAACTTAATCACGTTCAAGTAGGAGCCCTTTGACAAAAAACAATACCTTACAATACAAAATTTGGCTTATAAGTTAAATATCTAAAATTAAATACTGACATATTTAAATATTCCGATTGAAACATTTGAAAAAAAAAGTCCTCAAAATTAACACTTTATTTTTTTTGGATCGGTGACAAACAAATAGCATACATGTGAAATCAACAAGGTATGTGGCTAATCTGGTAACATTAATGGAGAAGATATGATGTTGATATAACGTTTTTAAACATTAATTAATACTTTCTGTATGTGATAAGTTTGATTTCGTTTTTTCTTTTTTTTTCATTTTCTTTTTTTCTTGATTTTCTTAGTTGATATTTTACCTCATCCTCTATTTGTCCTTATTTTGTTCTTATTTTAAAGTAATTTCAGCCTCAATATTCTTATAAAATGTGTTCTTAAAAAACAAATAGCACATCACATTTAAACAGTAAAATGTCAATAGGATTTCTAACACAATTTGTACTTAACATAATCAAGGGCTTGTCTGAGAGAGAGGAGGAAACATGACCTAATTACTACACAAATGTTTAAGGGAAAACCAAATTATAATTAATATGGGATGACATTACTGCATTTCTTCAAAAAATAGCCAGTACAATGTGTTCACCCAAGTTTGGTATTATCTTTTAATATTGGCTGGAACCTAGCAACCTCTGCAGTAATGAATCAATACAAACAACCCTAATAAACTGGATAGTGAATGAGAGGTTGGTAACAAGATGATAACAAGAAATGATTTGTGTACTTACTGACTGCTTCAATGACACGTGCCAGGAGTACCCCATTACACACATCAACTTGAAGGTCACTGATGAAATTCTGATGACCAGCTCGCTCCAGATAAAAGTTAGCCCAGTCGGAATAAATCTAAACAAAGAATAAGTTTGTTAACATCCAATTTTGCAAACTTGTGAATTTATACCAAAGTCTAAACGCCACAATCATAGCCCAATCATAAAATCTATACTAAAAAATAAATTTGTAAACATTTAAGTTTGCTGAATTACCAACACATAAATGCTACAAATTGAGGTCCTATGATTTGCGACTTTCTGCAAATTTATGAACTAATTGCTACTTGGTGCACCAATTATAATATAATAATGATACAATTCATCAGTATAATGAAGAATTTAATGATACAATTCATTTGTATAATGAAGGTTCTAATTTTTAAGGTTTTGTTCACAATGGAGCATTCTGATCCTGAGCTGAACTGTTAGCACTGTATGTGAAAACTCCCGATCGGGATAACATTTCCAATTTTAGTCAATTGTCATTATCACATTTTTGCAACTGATTCTTACTTCCTACTAACTCCTTTCCATTAATTTTCACCCAAAATTAACAAAGTTCCAGCCGCCCTCATACATGGATCATTAACATTTGTTATTATTCTTATGTATCAAAAATAATATTAATGGTAAACTTATATTGCGCATAATGATAAGACCTCTATACACTTCATATTTACATTATCCCGATCATTAAATTAAACACCTATGTAACACAAACTCAGCTTCCCATGGAGTGTTCCATAACAATGCAGCAGCTAATCAGCACATTTGGCATTTTAACTATACCAGGTACCAATTTACACCGGCAATATATAAGGCAATCCATGTATAAGACGACCCTGAGTTTAAGAACAGTTTTAAACGACTTTTGTATGTAGGCCGTATAAATTCCTCCTTTCGATACGATCCACTGGGACCAAGCCTGCATTCAGCCTTCAAATCGCCATATATTTGCAAGGTCTAGGCTTCGAAAAGTTCATGAAATTCATTGCATGACCATTTAAAAAGCATTAATTAAAACAAATGAAACAACTATGTTGCATGGCATTCATTTTTTGGCTTGTCAAGCATATATGATAAGACCATGGAGGAAATGCTGGTGTTTTGCCTGCTGCACATTGACGCACGAGCCGAGTCACGTGCACAAACATGTTACAGTACCATATTTGGAACTATTGTTGCAAGACGTGCTACATTTTTTAACATAGTTAATACTGCTGTCGCGTCAGTGGATCTGCTAAAAGCTATATATTTCCCCTCATTTCAGGGAAAAGTGTCCCTTTAATAGGAGTGTTCAAAAAGAGGGGTTCTACTTTAATACCATTTTATGAGATTTTAAATGTTCATCAAAATCAAATTGCGTTCATTCACTTATTTAGTAGCTTCGTTGCAGTAGTAAATTTGTGTGTTACGGAAGAACATGATTTAAAAATCTAAATTTTATACGTGTATAAGACAACTCTATTTTTCGATCATAATTTGCTACTTTAAGCCTGGTCTTATACTAGAGTATATAAGGTACTCATGGGTGGAGAGATGAAATTCAGATAAAGTGCCAAGCTTAAGGACACTCGAGGTTGGAAAACCAAACCGTTGCACTAAACAACTTCTACATGCAATATTCAGTCCTGTATTTTTTTTTTTAATTCCCAAAATATAGGCCTAAAGATTTTAATTGAATGAATATGAAGAAGGGCTTCTGCTTCGGTGACCAAAGGCCCTCATACTAATGGTATTCATAGGTCAAAAGTCAACAGAAATTCATTATCGGAACTAAGAAGGGACAGCAAAGCCAAAATGGCTGGGTAAAATTTTTAAAAAAAGTTTTAACTGTTATTTATAGCTACTTTGCCACATCATGAAGCAGTACAAAAACAAGATTTTTTTTAAAAATTTTTTGTTAACTATAAATGAAGTTTACACTGTTGTTCAATCATCTGAATAAGTTCTAAATCACGATTTGTGTTTTTATAGGACACCGACGCAAATTATATTTCTTCAACCTCATTCCACAATCTTACATTTCATTTAACATTTATACACAGATGTAATTATACTTCTATAATTAATGTTTACCATTACATAAATTATTAAGACTTAATTAAGACTATAAATTAATTATAATAAGTATTTCCCAGAGGATGTCATTCTGCAAGCAAGTAATCCTATAGATAATAATCATCTGAGAAAATTGTCTGCAAAAGCTTTATCCACTGAAACTAGTTGTCTTGACCACTACTATGAACTAGTGTGGCTAATATTTGACTTAAATCACAAGTTGGCAAAGTGCGGTCTGTGGGCCACATATGGCCTGATAGCAATTTTGGAAGTTACAACCAATGAAAATAAATGTAAATCCCCTACTTGTGCAACCATCATTGGCACGAGAAAATACCCTATTGTTACAGTCCACCGCCTATCACATATATAT